ATTATGGCCCTTTCTTCTTTTTGGATGTGTGCATTTATTGCTATAAACTGACCACTGAGCACTGGTTTTGCTGTGTCCCAAAGGTTCCGGTAGGGTATGTTTTCATTCTCGTTTGATTCCGTGAATTTCTTTATTCCACCCTTAGTTTCTCCTATAACCCAGTAGTTTTTGAGCAAGATGTATTTAGTTTCCATGTGTTTGATTCGTTTTCCTTGCTTTTTGTGTTGTTGATTTCTACTTTTATGGCTTTATGGTCAGAAAAGATGCTGTGTACTATTTCGATGCTTTGGATTTTGTTAAGGTTTGCTTTATGGCCTAACATGTGGTCTAGTCTGGAGAATGTTCCATGTGAACTGGAAAACAAAGTATATCTGGCTGCTGTTGGGTGGAGTGTTCGGTATATGTCTATGAGATCAAGTTGGCTGATTGCAGCATTTATATCTTCCGTGTCTTTGTTGAGCTTCTTTCTGGATGTCTGTCCTTCACCGAAAGTGGTGTTGAAGACTCCCACTATTGTGGAGCTCTCTCTCTTTTCAGTGCTGTTAGAGTTTGCTTTATGTATTGTGGAGCCCTGTCATTGGGTACATAAATATTTATTATAGTTATGTCCTCCTGGTGTACTGACCCTTTAATCATTATATAGTGTCCTTCCTTATCCTTTGAGGTGGATTTTACTTTAAAGTCTATTTTGTCAGAGATTAATTTGCCACTTCTGCTCTTTTTTGAGTACTGTTTGCTTGATATATTTTTTTCCATCCTTTTGAGTTTTGGTTTGTGTCTTTAAGGTGTGTCTCTTACAGGCAGCATATAGGCTTACCATGTTTTTTTATCCCATCTGCCACCCTCTGTCTCTTTATTGGTGCATTTAGTCCATTTACATTCAGCATAATTATTGATAGGTATGAGTTTAGTGCTGTCATTTTGATGTCTTTTTGTGTTTGTTGTTCACAGTTTCTTTGTTCCACTTAATTTTCTGTGCTGCGTCATTTTTCTTTATGTATTTTCATGTTTTTCATTGTTGTTGATTTTGTGTTTGCTTTTATCTTTTTATAGCTTTTTATTTTGACCTGTAGGATTGTTAGTTTCCTTTGCGGTTACCTTAATATTTACCCCTATTTTTCTAAGTTTATACCAGTCTTTTATTTCTTTATATCGCCTTAACTTCCTCTCCATATGAAAAAAATCTGTATCTACATTTTTTAAGTCCTTCTTTTTTGTTTAATGTTGTCATCTTTTACATATTGACACGTGTTTCCCTATTTTCAGTTTTAGCTTTGATTTACTTTTGTGACTTCCCTATCTAGTTTGATATGTGGTTGCTCTGTCCTGTGTTCTAGTCTTGGGTTATTATCTGACGTGACTGATTTTCTAACCGGAGGACTCCCTTTAGTATTTCTTGTAATTTTGATTTGGTTTTTGAAAATTCCCTAAGCTTCTATTTAGCTGGAAATGCCCTAATTTCACCATCATATTTGAGAGAGAGTTTTGCTGGATATATAATTCTTGGCTGGCAGTCTTTTTTTTCTTTCCTTCAAGGCTTTATATATGTCATCCCATTGCCTTCTTGCCTGCATGGTTTCTGCTGAGTAGTCTGAGCTTATTCTTATTGACTCTTCTTTGTAGATGACTTTTCGTTTATCCCTAGCTGCTCTTAAAATTCTCTATTTATCTTTGGTTTTGCAAGTTTGATTACAATATGTCTTGATGACTTTTTTTTGGGATCTACCTTATGTGGGGTTCGATAAGCATCTTGGATACCTTCTAATCTTTCATGGTATCAGGGAAGTTTTCTGCCAAGAAATCTTCAACAATTCTCTCTGTATTTTCTGTTATCCCCCCCCCACCCCCGTTCTGGCACTCCAGTCACTCATAGGTTACTCCTCTTGATAGAGTCCCACATTTAATTCTTAGGGTTTCTTCATTTTTTTAATCCTTTTATCTGACTTTTCCTCAAATAAATTGGTGTCAAGTGCTTTATCTTCAATCTCACTAATTCTGACTTCCATTACCTCAATTCTGCTCCTATGACTTTCTATTGTTGAATTCTGACATTTTAATCTTCTGGATTTCTCATTGCTGTCTCTCCATGGATTCTTGCAGCCTGTTAAATTTGTCATTATGCTCTTCTCTAATCTTTTCAATTTCCTCTATTGCGTGTTCTGTTGTTTTGCGTAATTTCCTTCCTAATTTCTTGAAGAGTTCTGTATATTAATCTTTTGTATTCTCCCTCCGGTAATTCCAAGAAATTTTCCTCCTCTGGAAGATTTCTAGATTCTTTATTTAGGGAGCTTGCTGAAGCCATCATGGATTGCCTCTTAATGATTTGATATTGACTGTTGTCTCCGAGACATTAATAAGTTATTATATTTATTTTATGTTTGCTTACTGTATCCTAGCTTCTTGTTTTCTTTTGATATGCCCAAATAGGCTGCTTGTGGGAGCTAGTTTGATTATTGGCACCTTTGAAGCTCTAATGTCCTGTCACCAGGTGGTTAGATCTGTACTAGGTATGTGAGCTCAGGAGTCTACTCACTCCTCCTGTATGGATTCAGCTCAGGTGCCCAGGTAGATAGCCACCAAGTGTGTGGTGTGGGCTCTCACTTACAGTCCTAGACAGGCATGGGTGATTGGTGTAGGCACCAATCTCTGAGCAAGGCAGGGGGCTGACGGCCACCTGAGTGTCCAGGAGGAAGGCGTGTCCCTGCCCCCTACAGCACGTATGTAGGTGGGTTTTGCCACCAGACTAAGAGCACCTAATGCTGTTGGTTGTAAGGACTGGGGGGCACCTCTTATTCACGGGCCCCTCTCGCAGGTTGCTAGATGGCATGGGTGGAGTCACCAGTCCCCAGGCCCCTGATGTGGGTAGGTGAAGACCCTGCTTAATGGGCAGAGCAGTGTCAAATGTCAAGAACCTGCCACTTCACAGCTGCAACAGCTGAAGTTGGACTTCCTGTATATACCCTGTTGTACTGCAGTAATGAGGGCCTATGCTGTTGAGATGGGCCCACACAAGTCTATGCAGGGGGAGAGGCACTCAAAGTCCATGGATCCCTTATGCCTGTGCCTAGGCAAAGGTGTTGTGCCTCCCCTGGGTTCCTGGCTTAGGGGAGCCGGCAGTTTATTTTTTCCCATTTGTTAATTTCTTCACTCTCCAAGGCAGGGAGAATGGCTCCGGGAGTGTGACGGCCCCTACTTCCAGCCCAGGGGACTCGGCAATTGCTGAAGCCGGTCCGGGACCCAGTGCAGAGCAGGGAGCAGGGAGGTAAATGGGAGAGAAGTTTTTCCTCCACATGGTAAGCCGTACACAAG